ATGCTTTTCAGCAATCTGTTCTTCACTATAGGGTCAAATCATTGCAACAAACATGGCCCTAACCCAGAGATACTCAGTCAAGAAGAAAATTTAAATAGCTAGCAAAAAACACAAGTATCCAGTGCTTATTTGCCCAGACACTGGTAAACAATTGTTTCACACACTGCCTTATTTTATCCTATCTCAAGGTCATGAGGTTAGTATAATTATTATGCTAAGTTTATAGAAGAGTAAGCTGAAATTTAGAGATAGCGAGTTACTTACTCAATATCACACAACTAATAAGAGGCAAAGCTGGGATTTATAATAAGAATATTTTAAATCCCAGAGCCCATGATTCCAAACTCTTGAACACACACTATCCAGCCTAAGTCTCACCAGGTTCAGGTAGCTTCACCTTGTCTTGTTCCTTTCCAAATACACTAACCCCACTGTTCCTTGGGGAACCTTTCTGTATTTTGTCATTTATTTTCATCAGGGCTACCTATATAATTTGGGAGGCCAGTGTAAAATAAAAATTCAGTTCTCCAGTTGGGGTTGGGGAAGTAAATCTCCCCTTGCCACGGGCATGCCACTCCAACCCAAAGCAGATTAGTGACTCAAAGGTACTGCAACTTTTCCATCAAGGGATACTTAGTACCTGGAAAAATGAGTACCATTTTCCATGATGTGGTACCAAGTATATCATTTTCTGAGACAGCATTCCTAGATATAGAATAATTGTAACTGAAGGCTCTAACAGTTTTGAGGCTCTGAAAATATATTTACATTACAGTTCAGAAAGGTTTACAGTTTATGTTTTCACTGGTAATTTATAAGGCGTATCCACCTGTACTTACCCTCACCAAAAAATTTATATAATAAAAAGATACTAAGTATCTCTTGATGGAAAAGTTGCAATACCTTAGAGGTCATTCATCTGCTTTGTGTTGGAGTGGCACGCCAGAAAACCTACTAGGTTTCCTGGGGAATGAGCCACGTCATTGTCAGGGAAGACTGAGGGCGGCTGCCTCCTTGCTTTCCTCAGAGATGCAGTAGGCTGTACATCTAAATGTGACTCTCCTGTATGCATACTCAGGCCCCTGCCAAAGGCAAAAGTTGGCATGAAATACAGGCGTTCTCCCCAATTAATGTGACTAAGACACCCACATGGGAGGTAGGAAGGATCAAGTCGTGGGAAGTTGCAAGGGGAAGCTAGGTAGAGTCCAAGGCAACAGAGGGTGAGGAATGGGTGATCAAAAAGCCAGGTCAAAAAAGAAAAAAATAGGAGACAGAAATATATGTAAGTTATGTAAGTTTATCCTCCATTGGGCTACCAGATTTCACTTATGGAATATAAACTCAAAAATTAAATTATTAAGAATTTCAAGGTAACAATTACAAAGAATTATATCCCAAGAGCGGGGCCCTTTGAGCATGGCATCCTGTATGGTATGTGTATAACCGTTTGGTTACGATGTATGAGGTGGACTGTGATTTTTATTATCTGAATTTAGTTAGAGAGGGAATGAGAAAGGGTGATTTGTTTAAAAATCCTGTGTAAATCTTGCATAGATCTGTTGCTATGATGGCAACACAGTGTAATGGTTAAAATCTGAGTTTAGATTTATATAGACATAGGTTTGAATCCCAACTCTTCATACTAGATAATTTGAGAAAAGATTTTAAGCTCTCAAATTCAATGTCTTCTGTTTCAAAAATATAGTAAAACAGGCTTTAAGATTTTGAACAGGTTGAAAATGTAATTTACGTAAAATATTCAACATAGACCCTGTCACACACTTTTGTAGTTAATAAATGTTCTCAATTATTAAGATATGTGATACATTTGAATTTGGAGATCTAAGGAAAATTTTAGTCATCAAAAATACATGTCTCCTGGTTCATATATTACCTTAGAGACATCTCAAAATCCTGAAAAATCTAATTACATAGCAAAAAACAAAACAAAAATGCATTGAGAAATAAGTACCAGGTACTCAAGTGTGTTATATTCACTCTTATTGTGTTTCCATAGCAACTTTTGAGCATCATCAAGCCATTTTATAGATGAAGAAACTGAAGCTGAAGAAGGTTAAGCAAATTTGCAGAATTTAATAGCTGATGAGATAACTAAGATCCAATCTCCGGTCTGACTACAAAGTCTTTGTTAAAAAACCCTGTGTCATGTTGTCTAGATTCATTTTTGACCTGGTTTACATTTAAAATGTTAATAAATACTCATTCTGGGGACTCAGCCTGGATTATTTTAATCAGAATATGAAACCTCATAGCCTGAGGTTAAAAAAATACTTTTAATGTGATTTAGGTGATTATTCTATGCAGCCAGGGTTAAGAACTAACTGGTCTAGATGTCATAATGCACCCGAAAAGCCCTTACATTTAACATATTTTGGGTTAGGTAATATTAGCAGGCCATTTTGAATTCATGAATAGCAATGGAAAGTCCACCTATTTTTTTTTTTTTTTACCCCAAGAGTATTTTAAGATAAACACCAAAGAAGATTCATTGTAAGAAAGCAAAGGTATTCTTTTTTGCACAGGAGGAAAGAGTTGTTATTGTCATGACCTTGAATAATCTTTTATAGATGGGTGTGGGAGTATGATTTATATTCTGAAACTCAGAGAAGTAAAAGCATCTGTGTACTGACCTGAAAGAATATGTGGAAAACATAGGATGAGAAGAATTACCACATAGTTTGGATCAGAAATGTCAAGGCGGATAGACGTGGGATGATGGAAAAGGAATGTGTCATGAATATTTCCTAAGTGGGCCCCTCTTTCACATTTGTTAGCATCATTTATAATAGGATGAATAATAGTGTTAAGATACATGCCCCTTAATGTTCCCCTTTATCCAGACAAAAACAAAGCACCTCCAATCAAATTATTAACCAAGGTCAGCAGATGCAAGCTAGAGATAGGGTGCTAGTGATTTCAGCCCCAGCCACAAATGGAGGACAATTCATAGAAATAACTCCCTCAGTTCCCCAACTATATTCTGAAAGTGGAGATTTATAAACAAAGCATTGATTCTTCCAATTGTTGTACCCATTAATTTTGTTTTCTAGGGTTGCTTTCTAGAACGGCATTAAATTAAGGGACTGATGTTGTGTGCAGAGGAATATGGGCTATGGCTAGAGAAGGATGCTTTGACCAATTTAAACAGGTAAAAACATGACCAAATTATGTCAAAGGCCACCAAGCTCAAGAAAGCCCTACTATAAAACAGCTACCATTATATTAATTGTACATCCCCAATTTAAAGGAAAAAGTCAAACAATTAATATTAGTGAACTAAAGACCAGTCTCCATAGATATTGGTAATAGATATTAATAGTCTATTTAGTTTCTGTAAAATAATATCTCCATTATGTAAAATAAAACTATCAAGGGCACTAGAATTTTTCTCTAACAGCATCAAAAAAGTGGCCTAATTCATAATTTGAAAGTAATCATGATGTGGTGAAAGAATATAGGTTTTTGAGTAAGAATTGTTTGATTTCAATTTTGATTTCCACTAACAATCTATTCTTGGGCAAGTAACTTAGTATATTTGAACTTAATATTTTTATCTGTAAAATGATAGTAATATTTACCATTCAGTTTTTTTCTGAGGCTTATAGATATCTGTGAAGCAGCAAGTATAAAATACCTAGAAATTATTCACCGATGATGATCATTATTTTAATATATTTTGATTCTTAGAAGTCCGCTCACTCTGTCAACATCTTGTCAAGGACCTGTGCTTTCATATCCTGGAACTCAGCCATGCATTTCCCCGTTTCTCTCAGAATAAACTATTACTGGCCTAGAGAGTAGCCCTGAATTTAAACCTACTCACTAGAAAAGGACAGATTTTGGGGGAACTGGCCAAACAACAGGAGTTAAGTGAGAGTTTCTGCTGGTAGACAAAGTCTAGTGCCCAAGAAACACAGCAATAACTAGGCACAATTCATGTGAGTTATCAGCAACCATCTCAGAATAGTACGGTATGTCAGCACATATGAAAGCTCATCCGCAGCAGTTCAGTTACCTTGCTGTCTTCTACTTAAGGGATTTCTAGACAAGGCATGTCCTGGTATGAGGTCTAGTTCCAGAAAGGGACTTCTAGTTCAAGGATTCCACATTCCAGGGAATCCAGGTCCTAAGCAAATCAGCAAAACAGGTTCATAACGATAAAACCAAGGAAGAAGCCCATTTATAAATACTGAAGTATGGCTCAGAGCTCAGAAGTGAGGTGATATCCCAACTTTCATATTTGAGTAGAAGATTTGCTCTAGATATGATAAAGATTTGCTCTAGATACAGCAAAGAATTATCACTACTATTACTGCTCAGGAATTAAGTTTGCTCTTTCCAAAAACCCTAAGAAAAGAGTTGGCATCCATCTCCACTTGACCAATGAAAAAGCTATAACTCAGTATGGACAAATAATTTCCTCAAAGCAAAGCAAGCAGTCAGTTCCAAGCTTGATATCCAAACTCAAGTTTATCTGATTTTAAAAGAATGGGCTGAACCAAGATATACTGTACTACCGACAAAAATAAATAAATAAATAAATAAATAAAAGCAAAGAGAAAATGTAGAAAACAAAAACGTTGGCTTCAGCTCAGATTGGTTCTGACAACAGGTGGCAAGTTTAATCCTGCATCTTATGATCAAATGGCTCTTGCTATGGGAAACCTGATCCTAAAAACCTGACATGGTATGGCAGTTTGTTGTTTAACACAAAGGACTTTAAAATCATGCAGCAACGCTTTTTTGTTCAGACTGTCAGTGGTTTTCATCATCTCCTGTCTGTGACCATTGTTAAGGACCTCTGGAATCTCATGGAATCTAATGGAATATTTATTCCGTAGGATTATTGTACTATCATCATGGTCACTATATTTCTCACCACAATATTTAAAGGAATTGTCCTTGACTTAATGATTAGGGAAGATTTAATGATTGATATCATCCACCAGATTGCTTCCTTTCCAACACATTATAAATTGTTTGTTGACATGTGTATTGCCAAAGGCATTTTTTAGTTAGTGTTACTGGGATTTCTAAGCCTTATTTGGAGGATCATTAGAAATACTTCCCTCCCTATCTCACTGTAATTAATATTACATAGCATAGTTGGCTCTTCAGTATACATTCAGACGCATGTGCAGATGTCCAGAAGGAAAAGGCTACAGACTCTTCTCATTGTTCCACTAGGAAATGTCAGAGAGGCACTCAATTTCCTTCTAGATTCAAAGAGGAGTTTAAGTATTCTTTATCCTGTCGAGTTTGGGGACAGGAAGAGAGAGAGAAACAGCCTTTCTTACTTCTTCATAATTCTTTTTTTAAAAATTTGTGGAATTATGGAACAGATAGTTGGGTTGTAAACAAAAACCTCCTACCTGTTAAGCAGAAAATGTTCAATAAATATTAAGAATAAATTCTCTGCAAATATTTTGTAACCATACTTCTGTTCCATGGGAATATTCATTTACTGTGTTTAGCATTTTCTCATCTGTCTTCCTTTTTTTCAGATCTGTAATTCTCATTCTACGTGACATGTCCTTGAAAGAATCCAAATAAAACAAAATTATTGCAATTTACATGAGCCCCACCATAAAAAACATTTCCTGTGATAGTTATCCCAAACTCTTCCTAGTTTTCTGGTAGCCTGAAAGACTTAAACATATGTAACAAAACATTTCACTTTCCATCTCGGGGGGAAAGTTAATGGAGAATCTACTTGAATAGCAAACTGAAGAGCAAGAAGTAAAACCTTTCTGTGGTATATTAATGGAGTTAAGATGGCATTTCCCACCAAACAAATAATTTTTCAGAGTAATTGAGTCCTTGTTTCTTTTTGGAAAATGTGATTTCTGCATTTTAAAAACATATTAAAGATAGATAGATATTAAAGACAATGATATCCAGCATTAGCAGTTAAACAATTTACATCAGATAAAGTTTCCACTTTAAGTGCATAGAATGGTAAATTAGTAAAGTCCTCTTGAAATTATTGAGACTGTCATGCACTTACAAATGCACTGAAAGTTATTTATGTGCCTTTGTAGCTTGAAAATTTAATAAGGATGAAATCTGAATAAAAATATTGCCACTACAAAAATGAAAAACTGCTTGAATGAAATCTAGGTTCATTGCATGCCTAAGATCACAAGACCCAAACAACATTTTTCTTCCATAAGATCACATGGAATGAAAATGAGTCAACGTTCAACAGGATCTTTGTTTAAAAGACATCAAAGGAATGCTGACAAACTCACCATTTCATTCCTCTTCTTATCATCTGTGTAGACATAATATGCTCTATTTTCAGGAAGCTTAGAGCATCTTATAATTTTCTGGTACTCCTCATGGAATGTGGATTGTGAGGTTACTGGCCCTGAATGTATAAACTATGAATTAAGTGTCACTTGAATGGAAAATTATTTGAAGAAAGTACACCATGATTCACTTCTAATGAATGCTTTTATATGTCTCTGCAAATGTATTCACCCAAAGAAGTTTTCATAGAAGCAGGCCAAGAAACTATTCTTTCTTATTTTATCTAGCAATTTTCAAAGTAAAATAATTCACTAAAGCTAAGAAGTTCCCTTTAATTATCAAATAGCACACAGAAATTTCCCGTGCTTGGTTAAAATCTTACCAGATAGCCAATTGAAATTAAAACATTTTCTAACCCACAAAAGCATATATTCCACAAAGACTGAGAACACTTGATAGATATACAAAAGCATGAACTAAATGCTTTGATAGTCAACCTACCAGATGCAACTAATGCAGACCTTACATTCTTTTAGAAAGTGAATGCCACTCAATATTTATACAAGTAAACTTTTACACTCTGGCTTCTTGGGGTTTTGTTTTGGTTCAAGGTTTTGGTATTTTTTTTATAAAGAGCTATGGATCTTTAGTCTTTATAATAAAGATTAAACAAATAAAAATAGTCACACATCCTTAATTCCTAGTATCTGAGTCTCAGATCAGTGCTGTTGGCTGATGGTTGTATGTTTGATAAAGACTTACGAGTCTTTTATATAACAAAAATTTTTAAAACAACCAAACAAACATAATTACACACCTGTGGTTTCTAGTATTCAAGACTCAGCTCAGTGTTCTTTGCTGATCATTCTGCAGCATTATCAGAAACCGATGTGTGTGCTCTGCCAGACTGCAGAAGACGTTTTCTGCTAATTAGAAGGGTGAGGTCTAATCCAAAAGACAACAATCCCATAGTAAATATTGTCCAGAGGGTGATGCAATTATCCTTGTTTTACAGAGTAAAAAATTGTGACAATTCAGAAAACTGAATTGCATCCAGAGCATTTGGTTATAGTTGCAGTTTTTCAAGTGATAGATGATGAAGGATGGGATTTAACACATTGGCAGCTGAGATAGATCTGGGAAATGGATCTAAAAAAATCTCTAGATATAACTGATACTCTATACATTGCTTAAATAGAAAGAATGGGACATAGACGAGGTTGGTATAAAAAAAAATGATATCAAATGTCCTTGCTGAGGAAGGAGAATCAACGATTTTAAGGGAGCAAGGCAGGCAGAGAATGATTGGAAGATGAGAAGTCCTATTTTGGAAGTACCTGATTTCAGGTGCCTATAATTAAAGATGGTTATATCAAAGAGGCAATCAGAGCTCTAAATTGTATAAAATAAAGTCTGGACTATAGTAAGAACTTTCCTTTCTCTTTTCCCTCATTTTTCCCTCCAAAAGTTTACAGGACAACTTCAGAAGATGACTCCAATATCCGTGGAGCTGAAGAAGGTGAACTCATCACTGCAGTGGCTCTAATGATGCCGCATGGTGTCTATTATTCCTTTAATTCGCCTAATTGAAGGTTACACATTCAAGTCCATCTTGCTCTGTGCTTCCTTTGGATTTAAAAAGCTTTGAATGCTCTCTGATCATATGTCCTCAACCAATATTGCAAGACAGGTGCACCTTAACCGTAGAGGCCAAAGAAGGATTTGGATATCCTATTACCTTGAGTCTTAAAAATTCAGCTAATTCCTTTTATATTATTTTCAAAGTCTGAAGTTTCAAATGCTTTAATTTCAATATGGTTGAATGGAAACAGAAATAAATGAGTGCTGAACCACTTTTGCCCACAGCAATTTTTCTCATAAACTTTGCTATTAACATTTTGTTTTAGCATTATTTTTTAATCCTTGGCATGTACTTACGCTGGTATGCATGTAGCATTCTTTTTCTGACTTAATCCTCACAATGGTATTGGCATTTGGTAACTTTAAATTCTTGTTTTACAGATGGAAAAATAAATCTAAAGATATGATAACGTTAAGTAACTTCTTCAAGGACATATAGCTAGTAGGGGGTGGGATTTAAACCGACCATTGGAATAAACTGTGCTTTGTTTTGTTTAATTACCTAGTTGCAGAATACTGTACTAAGTTTTTGCTAAAACCGTATGAAGGTAGCTTCTAGGTCTAACATCAAGAATCTATAACACACAGCTGTGGAAGGAAAAAAATTATAGAAAAGGCACAAAGTAATTAAATAGACATTTTCATTAGAGAAAGTTTCTATGTTTGTGGTTTGTGGGATGAAAAATGTGAGAGTTACTCATCACTCATCAGCCTTGGGAAGAGGATTATCATTGGCTTTATTTCTGGAAGACTTTAATGTTGGAGATGAGATTTAGAAAACCTTTGAAAAAGAGGAAAGAAGGTAGACTTTAAGTAAAAGGTTGTTCCAAGAATAATGAATGGCATGAGTGAGAATATAAGTGAGAAAGGCATGGTAGGGAATAGGGTAGGAGGTGAGAGTATAGAGGGAACAGTGGGTTTTTTACTCCTCCACACCTTGTATGTGATAATTAATCTAGAAAGACAGAAGAAAAGGGAATGGTGAGAAAGGGTGGGCAATTACTTAGGCAATCTAGAGAAGCCCCTGAATTTGATCCTTAGAGACTGGGCAGAGAAGAAAAAAATGTATGGCCTTTACCACAGTCAAGGAAACAGGTTCTAAAAGCAGAACTTGGACCTGTGATGTGATTGGGTACCCAGAAGGAAGGAACAGTTATAGAAGATGTATTAAGGTCAAGTATTAGGCCACATTCACAGAATAACATACAGAAAACATGAAGTAGGCTGCTGTCTCAGCAAGTGCTAGACTGCCATAGGGTAGATACTGCAGAAAGGAACTCAGTGGTAGGAAAGCAAAACTTTTTACAATGAAATATAGGTGGTTAAAACTATGTTGTATGTAGATTATAAGCAGCAGCTCTGCACCCGACAATTTATGTCAATTCTGTTAATACCTAAGGCCAAGTTCCCTATGGCTGGGAATTTGTTAGAAATGCAGAATCCCAGGCCTCATTCCAGACCACTTGATTTGAATTCACTTTGAGAATCATTGTCCTAAACTCTTATTTCTCATCATTAAAGATAATGGCTTTAGTATAAAGTTATGTCAGAGTTAACTAGCATTCTCCAAGTGTTTAGTAGGATATTTGGCATAGTGGGAGTCAAATAATTGGAAATTAAAGTATTAATAATCATAGTATATATTGTAGAATTAATTTTTTAAATCTAAAAGAGAATTTATGGGTCAGGTACAGTGGCACATGCCTGTAATCTCAGCACTTTGGAGGTTGAGGCAGGTGGATCACTTAAGCCCAGGTGCTCAAGCATGGGCAATATAAAACCCCATCTCTATAGAAAAATAAAAATAAAAAAATTAGCTGGACATGGTGGTACACACTTGTATTACCCGCTAACCAGGAGGCTGAGGCAAAAGGATGGCTTAAGCCCAGAAGGTCTAGGCTGCAGTCAACCATGATAGTGCCCCATACATCAGCCTGGGCAGCAGAGCAAGACCCTGTCTCAAACAAAAAAATTATAATACATTAAATTTAACAAATGAAATAGGAGGCATGTTGTTGTAAAGACTAGATAAATCCCACTTCAGAGTTGGGCATTTTAATTTCTATTCCATACACCAAGTTTCACCATGTAGGCTACCAATTGTTTCTAATTAGACCTATACTTAGTAGAAAATGACCAGGTGGATGGATTGATTTTAAAATAGTATCTCAATTGGTGGAATTGAGGATTTTTATTACATGAGGTTTCCGAATTATTTTCAGTATCAGTGCCTGTGAGCAGAAAAACTAATAGTCAGATTAACAGAGTACTAATATGTAATACAAATATTATGCTAATAAAATAAAAGCGTAGACCTGCCCTTAATTACTCAACTCATCTCTCCTTGGGACATGCAAGTATTTGTTTTATTACTCAGCTTTAATCTGTTCTCACTATTCTTGATCAGGTTTGCAAATGAGTTCAAATGACCTTTAGGCCTGACAATATTTTAATCAACCCCCAAATCTTTCCTGTTTCAGCAATGTTACATAAAATTGCTGCACTCTGTATTCCCAGGCCACCTTCATGTCTACTTTTCTTAATTATCTAAATAGACACAAACTATTTGCAACGTCACAATTTCTATACTGGACCATATCTCTAAAGAGAACCTTAACCCTGATGCCCTTACAAAGGAAAATGGAGCTAACATAATGACAATCATGCTGCTGATGAGGATGGTGATGATGACAATGACAATTATATCTACAGTAATAATAACTTCCAACATTTATGGTGTGTTTAATTCAATCTTCTAGTTTGGAATACTATTTTCACTCCTTATTTTTATTTTTAGTGGAAAACCTCTCTCTTCAGAATTTTAGAGACATATCCAACTGCCTACTCAACATCTTTAACTTGGATATCTGTGAGGCATCTCAAACTTAATTTATACAAATAATTGGCTTCCTGTAAGATACTGGCTTTCCCATGGTCACCCCATCTTCATAAATGACACCTCCATTCTAAAAGCAAAACCACAAAACTTGAAGTCATTTTTTTTCATATCTCATCCCATTCGTCAGCAAATCCTGGCAGTCTTGTCTGATGTTAGCAACCATGTGAATCCTCATTGTGCAACTCACAATGTTGAGTTTTGCAGAATTGTTACCTGTATCTTTTGTGCCATCAAGATATCAAAATAATTTTTAAATTATGACTGGCATGGAATCTACCAAGGAGCAAAATTTTTTTGTCTTTAATAATCACAATTCAAAAAACAGAAAATGTAATATAGGATGTGCAAGCAACATTAGCAATTAATCATAGGAAAAAGAGATTCAATTCACAGTAATTTAAATAATTTAGCCTTCAAGAATTTCCTGTAGACCCAGAATATTTTGAGTGTGTGTACACATGTGTGTGTGATAGTAGAAAAAAAGCATAGAAATGTTAGGGAACTCAACAACAGTTTCCAATGACAAGCACTTATTAAATACTTGGTGCGTGTCTGATACTAAGCATTAAGGAAATGGAAATACAAAGATGAGCGGCACAAAGTCTGTATCAAGGAACTCTGACTCTAGTAAGAGAGTCAAGGCAGCAAGAGAGTCAAGGCAGCAAATAGTTTAAATCATCATTAACTCAACTTCCCAAACTTACTGTAACTGTAAACATTCAGAACACCATTCACCTGATGGAAGCAACTCCAATGGATATGGAAGTAAATTAAACATACTGTAATTTTTCAAAACCAACCACCATAAATAATAACAAACACCACACAGAACTTGTGATTTACCAAATCCCACAACTGTTCATATTTCTTGGAAACCAAGAAAAGAGCTCTGGGAAGCTTAAAGAATTACCTTTTTTAATCACTACATACCCGATGTAGCAATGTTGCACTACAAAATGTCACCTCCTGGTGAAATGGTTTCCACAACTGATGTTAGATAAAAGTCTGTATTAGGTTTATTTCCCAAGAGTGTCTGTTGTTTTGGGTGATCCATTCTTTAAAGACATGAACATCGCATTGGGTTATTTCAGAGAATCAAGTAAGCTACTGAGTGATATAGTGCTGGGAGCACTAAACTCCTCATGAGTTCAGTTCAAGAACGACATGGGAAAGATGGAGCACCAGAACACAAGCCAAGCTTTGGAAACTTTTCTAATACACTCAGTTATGTTTTAAAATGCATTTATCACTGACAAGAAAATGTTTCACCAAAATACAATCATCGTGGAAACTAAACACAGCCACAACACAAAGCCACTCTTTAAATACTGATTTTTATTCATCAAATATTTATTGAGGACCTACTATGTTCCTAACACTCTGAAGAGATACAGATATTAAAATAATTGGCCTCAGGATTCAAAAGTTGATAGATTAGTGAAAAACATACTCTTTAAAAAAACCAAATTAACACATAATATACTTGGATGGGTGTAGGTACAAAGTGTACTAGGCTATCTCAAAGCTTCAGTGAAGCTGGGTTTGAAAAATGGTAAACAAACTTGTAAAGAAGTAATAGATTGGCTGATCTAGAAAAAGAGAAAAATATTTTTAAAGGCATAGGGAATTGGAAAATTCGCTGAGAGCAACTTCTCTATTTTCTAACATCTGGCATTCCTTTTTAACTATTGCCTAATTACGACATTCAGCAGAAATAATGGCCAGTGGGCAGTCAGAATGATTTGTCATGGTAAACAGAATGGGAGGAACTCTTATTCCCTGTCTATACATATGAGGTTATACTTTTAGTGCTAAATTATATTTTTCTACTTTAGGTAACAGGCAATATTTCTTAAAAATATGATTTTAATTAATTTTCTGGATTGTTGAAACTAAAGGATATATAAGAATAGTGATTCAAATCCAATGTTTTAATAACTTCCATGTAATTGATTTTTAATTTATTTATATCACAAGTATGATTGGAGGGATTGCAGAAACCAACCACTGTGCCATACTCCAGAGGTACAGAGATAAACACACATTCTTAACCACCAATATTCAAAAACCGAATGAGTTTTCAGATACGTTCAAACAGATAAACCTTTTATGGATCTCCAGTCTTTAATCTGCTCATCTTCATTCTTTTATCTTTGAGATAAAAGTGTGTTCAATGCAAGAAGAGAAGTAAATTGGTAAGAGAAGCACAAAAGAAGGTGATCTGACAAGAATATATAAATATGGGAAGAACCAGTGAAATATGACCTAGCTTTTGAACAATGGAAAAAAAAAAAGTGGTGAAAGTTGTTCTAGGCTAGCAAATAGCATAAACCAAGAGAGAAGATATAACATGTCAGGGACTGTTAGAGAAATTCCATATACAAGTTGATTTGCTGGAATACCAGAAAAACTCTTATGATCCAAGATGTAGGCAATAACACAAAATTTATTTGTACTTTTAACGTTTTGTGTTGCTTTTGTCTTCACTGACAACCAACTCTCAGCCAAACAGTATGGTAAGAGTGTAGGCTGCTTTATATGGCTCTGGGCTTTTAAACATCCAATAAAAAAATGATGCTTTTGAATATAGTTGAACAGCTGCTGTAAGGAAGAAGGTTAGCAAATGAGTCAGAATCTGCTGAGGGTTAGTTAATGCATTCTATCAGTGTTAATTAAGCTGTTATTAAAAGGCTGACTGTTGCATCTCATATTCCTAGAATTTACACACACACTTCATTAATCTTTGCCCTTCCTCTGGGATAAGCCACTGCACCTGTTCATCTTCATGAGCAAGAGTATTACCTGCAACATAGCTGGTGTGCAACTCAAGACAAGCATGAATGATATGTAGCAGATCAAAGAGAAAACATCCTGGCATTTGATAGGGATTTTACTTTCTCTTCATTTTGTTGATGGACCCTGGCCTGTAAGACATACTCATTAAATTTCTTTTACCATCATCAATATCAAACACCCATTTTGTGTCCCAGGCATATTTGCCAAGATTTAGAATTTAAAACGTGACAATTATACAAGTTTGGGGAGGATATCTCTATTTTACACCATGGAAAATATGGCTGATCAGAGAACAGCTAAAACAGAGAAGTAAAATATTGGCAATGTAGACAAACAATAGTATCATATGCAGAGAATTGTTTGTAAGCATAGGAAATAGAATCTATCTAGAGATTAAGAGTTAAGACTTTAGAGCTTTGAAGGATAAAATAAAAAGAAAATTAGTAATTATTGTTTATGGAAAACATACTCCGTTAGACATTATTGTTTTAAACTTCAGATAAATTGTTTTATGTAATTGCTATTGGCATTGATTTAAAGTCAAAATTTTCTTTATTTATAGTTGTAAAGCCTAAACTCCAACGATTACTATTTTTGCCCACCATATCATAGCTATCAAGAGGCAGAACTAAATTTAAATGTTAAGGGAATCTACCTCTACGGACGGTCCTCTTAGGGACTATGCTGAATTACGTGTTTATTTGGTAACAACTGATGACTAGAAGATTTCCAACCGTGACTTTCAGTCAAGACAATTGACTGGGCTTTCAGGAACTATAAACACAGATTACACGGATCATGATACTTTGCTTCTGCGATGATGCGCTTATTAACATGTAGTTGCTAGTAGCATGAATTTCAAGGTAGATTGAGGGGTAATAACTTGTCATTCAGGAAGGGTTTACAGGGAAAATACTTGAGTTCCCCAAGCTCCAGAGTTTGGTCCTCGATTTTGTCACGTGTTTTCAAAAATGATCAATCTTTTGAGTCAGAGGGATTCATTCTGAAATTAAACCCACAAGAGACAACTTTGCCCACTTAATAATGTTACATTAAATACAATTGTAAATCTTATGAGGTTTGCTCAATTTAGCTGAGCAGCAGCATGTTCTTGTCCTATAGGATACTATAAAACACAAGAAAATTAATTATAATCTGAAAGCTGCTTAATACTCATGGAATATTAGTATTAACAAAAGGAGTTGAATCAGCATGTCTATCTTTTGGAATATACCTTCCAAGTGGATAGAATGCAAATGATCAGGCCCAAGACCTCTCCCAAAACAAAAGGAAACAGTGTGACAAAAGTCTTGCTTTAAGCCTCTTCTTCATTCTGGGTTTAAACAGGTAACTTAATTCTTTTGAAAAGTTGTAGCTTTCAGAAACATATTCAAATTTTAATTGTATATTTTTGAAGTTACATTCTAGTCATTATGCTTGTAACCAAACGGTTGCACATTTTTAATGTGTCATGAAGTGCATTCCTTCCATGGATATCAAACTCCATTTGCTTCTGGATACTTTTTAAGAATGGTTTCTCAGAGGTGATCTAGTGTAGTCCACCACTCATGTACTGTCAATATGTTAAGAAAGATGACCACTGTATGCCACCATAATATGAGGTGCACATGACTGGTAAGTACTTCAACATGTATCTCTCCCACTATACTTCAAACTACACAGGAGTTCTATTTGAAAAGTACCATTTCACTGATGGCTAGCACAATGACTGATGCATAGCAGGTGCCCAAACATTTGTTGAGCAAACTAATGTAAGCCACGGTCATTTTCTGTGACTTTTAAATTTACTTTTTCAAAATTGAACTATTATAATTATTTCCCTTATTATAAAATGATTTCATACTCATTGTAAAAACTTCACAAATACAGAAATATACAATGTAAAGATTAAAAATCTGACAAAATCCCCACGCCTCTCCTAAGTGACTGTTTCCACTTAAAAGGCTATCCTTCTTTATTTTCTCTGTAGTGTGTATGCATGTATGTGTGTAGTTTTTACATGAGTAAAACCATATTATTTTGGCATTCTTTTTCTATTTAATATGAAGAAATTTCAATGCCAATACATATAAATCATCTTATCCTTTAGACGCCCATTTAGACTGCCGTCGTACAGACGAGTTACAATTTGTTTTACTACTTAATTGATGTACATTTAGCTTAATTTCAATTGTAAGCAATGGCTCTTCTTGCAGACCCATTTATGTGTATTAAATGTTGGCATAGTTTTTTTTTTTTTTTTCAAATTTCTTCCATAAAGATTTTACAATTTAAACATCCACTAACAGCTAAGGAGTATCCTCATATTGAAGTATAATACTTCCATACAGTGAAGTTTCATTAACCTGTGAAATTAGCCTCTATGTTCCCCTAAACTTAATACTCTGATTAGTGAGATAACTCACATAACGGAAGCATAATAATTGTATATGAGAAGGTGACAGCAATGCCTTTTTGATTTATAGGTAGTTTTTTTAAGGCATAAGTTTTTAGAGTCTCTGAGGTAGTTAACAAAAATCACTGATAACAATAATTTGGAAAACAAAGTTTTTGAAAACCAAATACTTAAGATTAGAGTGTATTAAGCCATGGAATTACAGGTTTTTAATCACAAAATAAGCTCCTTATAAGTTAAGGGTGATCTAAAATGGTGAAAATAAAGAAAAATAATCAACCATTACCATTAAAATAATTAAAACTTTCCACGTGGATGACTTTAGGCCCAAGTTTCTATGAACATTTATCCAACTGTGCCCTATTCTACTCCTGTTGTCTCTCATAAATTTTATAACAATCAAAACAATTAATAACAAAGTGTCAGAAATATTTTCTCTGCACCAAACATACTTGTATCCTTTTATCCTTCTGTTTAGGAGCCTCCTGTAGATTTGTGGATATAGAAAATTTGGCAATAATATAGATGTTAAAAACATATGCTGGGAGAAAAACAATCAAACATTTCTTCAAGTAAAAAAGTAACAAAAAAGAGCTAGGCCTAGTGGCTGATGCCTGTAATACCACACGTTGGGATGATCGTTTGAGCTATACAATCCCAATAGTCCCAGCTACTTGGCCAGGCAGGAGGTTTTGGGGTTGGGGGGAGTTGAGGTGAGAGGATAGTTTGAGCTGAGCCCAGGGGATGGAGGCTTCAGACCATGATCGCAACACTGCACTCCAGCGTGGGTGACAGAGACAGACCCCCTTTCAATGCATTTAATCTAGAAGTTTGTA